TGTTCTCTCCAAAGCTATGCAGTAACCAGTGATTGGCTTACAAAAATTTCATCCATCTGATTCTATGCAACCTCTGCAAAATTACTATTCCCTTAAAAACCTAATAAGTTTACCTTCCAAGCAAAATTATTTATTTTCTCCAAATAAAGTCACACAAACAATTGATGAAATGTTAAGGTACTTTTATGTAACAAATGAGTAGATTTTACAAAAGGAATTCAAGTCAAGATTTCCATTAGTAATGACTGAACCAATTATAATCAGAGAGCCAATTGAAATTATTAATTTACTAGACTTCTCTAACTCATTTTATACACTACAAATGCTCATTTGCAACAAAAACTTTAGTATTCTCCTGAAACTGAGAAATTTTGCCTAAGCTAATATCCAAAACCTAAACATAATAGTTTTGGCTTAGGAATGTTGCAGGATTATTGATTTCTTTCTTTTGCTCTTCTAAATTCGTTTTCATGTTTGATGTTTTATTATGGAGCTTGAGATTAATTTTTCCAAAGCCTTGTAAAATCTAGATTGAGTCGTGACTATTCTATTTGCAACAGAAATCTGAGAAACTGGGAAATTTCACAAGTCTTTAAAGATTTCATTTCTCAGCATTACATGATTATTTAATCGAATTTATGCTAAGTTACCCATTCGAACACTTTATTGTGTGAAGTGAGCTTCTTTCCTCTGTACTCAGACCTTTTACTAAGCGTGGAGCGAATTTCATTGGTGCTCTGTCCGAAGGATGCTGAAGTTGAGCCTTTTCTCCTGAGGCCTCTGAGGATGAAAGGTGGGTGGCAGGGTGGTGGGGTGACAGGAACACCTGCGATCCAGCCAGGGCCATATCTGATGGGGAATGAAAAACGCCACGAAAGGACAAGGTAGATCTCTCTGTGAGATTCCTGGGAATATCGGGGTGCCGGGTCTCCTCTTACTTCACACAGCACAAAGCAGGTCTTCCTGAAAGCCTTCCCGAGCAGCTCTCATTCAGCAAGGGTCTTTCCCCTCAAGCAGGTGACACCTGCATTGTTCTAATTCTCTCCTTTTGTCCAAATGTTTTTTCTTAGAGCTTCCTCTAGCCAAACCCCTTTCCTCCTCCATTCTGGCCCTATTTATGATTTCCCATCTTATGCCTCAAAACCTGGCTTAGCCAGGAGCCCAGTTTAGACAATATTTTTCCTCTAACAAGGTTTTTGGTTCTTTTTTTTTTTTTGGTACCGGGGATCGAACTTGGGACCTTGCGCTTGCAAGGCAGGTGCTGAAACCACTGAGCTAAATCCCCGGCCCAAGGTTTTTTGTTCTAATAAGGTTCTAACAAGAAGGAAGTCTCAATTCTTTCTGCTTATACAACATCTTATACATGTCTGTATTACAAGATGTATATGTTTTATAGTATCTTGTACATGCTTGATATATCTTTATACATCATTCCAGTCATGCTAGGTAGCACTGTAGTTGCCAGTAGTGATTCGCAGATTCAGATACTCACACATCTGATATACACGCACACAAATATGTCATCACCTCCCCATTTCATTTAGAGAGGACTAATTTAGGGAGGCACAAAGTACATGCTGCCTGTGTGACCACATTTCCCCTTTTCACACTGCTCTGATAATATTTTTAAAGAGTTTCTTGGTATCCCTGACTACCACCTTCAGACTCACCAACGCTTTTACTTTCTCTGGGTCCTCTTGTTGCTGCCTCAGGCCCTCATTGGGGTCATGTGGAGGTGAGCCTCCCAAAGAGTCCTATGTGAAGGTAGAGGACCCTAGATGGGATGAGTGTAAATATCCCCCCAGGGACACCTGTGACTTGCATTTTATTAAGCTCCCTGCCCCTGCCGCCTGATGAGCAACACTGTCACTTTGATCCTGCTGTGACTCCCCACCTGCAGCAACGTCGCATCTCCTTGTCCACCCCATTTAACTTTCTTTTCCTGTTAAGTGTTCTTTGGTTTTACAATGGCAGTGGAGGAAATGGTCAGACTTGCTTCTTCCCAACTCTTCCCATTCTTTTTAATTTTTGAAGTAGCAAAGAAAAATGCATGCATTTATCATGTACAACATGATATACTGAAATATGTGTATATTTGTGGAAAGTGTAAATTGAGGTAATCAGTATGCTTTTTTATACAGGAAGGAAATCCTTCCATTTGCAATATCATAAGATGAACCTCTACAGCATCTGGTGAGTGAAAAATCAGGCAGAAAAAGACAAGCTCAAAGGACCACTCTTCTGTGGGTGTAGAAAACAGTTGAACTCAGAGGCGGAATGGTGGTGACCAGGGCCCGAGGGAGGCGTTGGACAAAGATATCAATTTTCCATTAGATAGTAGGACTGTGTTCAAGAAATCTGCTGTGCGATAGCACGGCGACAATCGTAAGAACATTCATTTCTACTTCTGGGTGACCCTCCCTGCGGGAGCCAGAAAACATTCCTTGCTATCCTATTCTTAGGAGGCATAAAGAGAAATGGTCATATTCCATTCAAATCTCCTCAGCTAAAGTCATCAGATATCCATTTTCTGTCTCCTGCGATTTTATCCCAAACTGTCCCAGCCCTTTCTAAAGTTTGTCACAGCTGAGATGGAACTGATAATACCTCAGTGGATTATTGCAATGTGAGGTCTAGCTTTTCCTTTCAATTTTGCCTATATTTTAAAAGAGAATACAGAAAGTTCCCAAACTTATCTGCTTTTAAACCACTGCCAGTAGGCATGGGCCTTTAACCAAATCTGTTCACTCCGGAATCCACGCCTCCCGTCGGATGGCTCTGCAGAGTGTCTTCAGGGGGTGATTTATCCACCTCATGCACAAAGCAGCAGTGTGTTCCAGGTACACCAAGCCTGTTCACACAGCAAGCTTTGTTCATTTACCCGACAGGAACAATAGGCTTCCTCAGTATCAACAGGTGTTTTCTTTTCCTGCATATATCATTCATCTCCTCCAATTAGAAACATTAGGAAAATATGATACGCACTCTCTTTGAGCTCTAGACTTCTAAGTAAGTCGTTAAGCTTCCTCTAGCTCATGGGATAAGCAGAAAGGAAGCCTTTTTACACCTCAGGGGAAATACTTTATAAAGAATTTTAAAGTAGATTTGTGCAGAGACACACGTGATTATGGTGCTTGCATTGTAGGAATTGGCAACACCACCAATGATTTGAGTTATTTTTAGCTCTTTCCCTTCACTGGCACTAATGCGCCTAAGTGGTTCGTGCGTGTTACTACCGAAAGCAGCTCAAATGGGAATCATTTTATGGCACTCGCGCTGGAGTGAGCTTTCGGTCCCAAATAACTTGGTTTCAGCGTTGAGGAAGTGAAAACTTGTTAGTACTCCTGGAACATTCTCTCCGAGTCATATCCATTTCCTTGAGGTAGAGAAAGGCTCTTTAAAAATCCATTACGCAGGGCCAGGGATGTAGCTCAGTGGTTCCCACCTGCGTCGCAAGTGCAAGGTCCCAGATTCAATCCCCTGTACCAAAAAAAAAAAAAAGTTAAGCATAACGGTAGACAAGCAACAACAGCACGGCCTCTCAACCCATGCCAGCCCAGGAAAGACCACTGAATGCTCAGCAGTGGCTCAGAAGAGGTCCACGTGTGCCCTGTACCTGTTTGTGATGTGCATCAGTCACAAAGAGCAGCACGGATGCCAGTTTATTGCTCACTCATCATATTGCACAACATTAAGCACCTTAGTCTGTGTTCCGGGCTTTCGAGTATTTCCTTTGCTCTCTCTGTTTACATGTCTGTTGGCACAGTTCTTATAATTTAGGCATGATAAGATAGTTTTGTAACTGCTAAGCTAAAGTGGTCTCACTGTTCTTTGTCAGACTGTGGTCCCCCCTCCCCAACTATACTTACACCTAATTGTTTAATTTTACAATGTGAAATTATGATATACAGTATACAGTCACATAAAGTTCACATTGGAAAGATGAATATTGTATAAAATGACTAAATACAAATGTATATACAAAAGTAATGGAGAACGATAGCAGCTTTTTTCTTCTTCTCTTACTGGTATGGGGTGAATGCTTAAGTTTCTCTAAGATTCATCTATGGAAGCCCAATCACTAGATGATAGTATTTGGAGGGGGGCCCTCTGGAGAGAATGAATGCCCTAGAAATGGGATTAGTGTACTTATTACAAGAGACAGAGAGAGATGACATCCTCACAGGCACTTGAGGATACAGCAGGGAGTCCTCAAACTGGAAAGCAAAACCCAGCCTGACATTTCCAGCTTCCAGAAGTGTGGGAAAGAAGAATTTCCTGTTTCAGTCACCTAGCCTATGGTACTGGCCATAGCAGCCTGAGATGACTAAGATGAATATACAATTTTATTTGAGGCAGAAGGTTTTAAATTTATATAATAGTTTTATATTTCTAAAAGGGCACAAGTACATCTTGCTGAGTTTTAATTGCTATGAAGTCACAGAAGTGACAGAAGTCTGGAATGTACTCCTGGTTACCACTTAGAAAACAGCCAACTGTGTGATTCATCATGAGTGCAACACAGGGTCCATAGGAGAAATAAGAACATTAGGTGCACACATATGTAATACATACATGTACACACATGACACGTGACACATGAATAAAGGTAACATGAAGGGGCACACTCATCTTTTACCTCACTTTCCTGAGTTTTCTGAAAATGTTTTCTGCTATGGTTGATTCTTTTTGATATTGTCTTTGCTGTGTCTCCATGTGGAGAGCTGAAATGAACTGAGTCAAAAGTACAATTAAGTTTTGGTTTCTTTCCAAGATTCCATGCTTTATAAGAGGCCTCCTAAAAACAGTTCTCCATCCTTACCATTTTCGGGAATCTCTGCTAGCTGTACAATGCAATAACTGAGACTCAGTGAATGAGCAGTGGGTTAATTTGATTAGTGATACCAGGTACTCGGAATGGCCGGCAGACTTGAACTTGCCAACTACTGTCCTCATCATTTGAAAACTAAACCTCACATAAGTTTTGATTTCACTTCCAGATGTGACAGAAAAGAGCTCCCGGTTCTCCCACCAATACCCTGATTCCTCATCACAAGTTCTGGGACGGTCTTCTTCAGCTATGTGCACAGCCGTGAAATAAACAACACGTCCTTTAGTGCACTGTGCCTTTTGTAAAGATTTTATTGCCTGTTAATTTCTATTTTAAGGTGAGTGAGTGAATTGGTATCATCATATCTTTAAATTATTGTAAGCTCTTAGAAGAGGCTGGAGCTGGCTGAGTAGCATTTTATGGTATATTGTCATGTGCAGTCATAAAGTCTATACATAATTTTAGGTGACACTGAGATACAATAAAGTAAGAGTCCCCCAATCTATTGGCCATGGACTGTTTCTCTTTCAATATATTTAAGTTTCAAATTGAGTAAAGACATGACATTACTGACTATTAACGTAGAATTAGATTGCAAACTAGAATTCTTCTTCTCTTATATGTTTCCTTAATTTCTATCTGCATGTGTAACTCTAAGGAAATTTAACCCACATGGTTTCATTCATTTCTACTCAAATTGTGAAAATGTTTGCTTTAAGAGCTCTTTGAAGTTCAAGGATTTTTTTAATAGCCCATTTAAGCCTTTATATCTTTAAACTAGGATTCCATTTTGCCAAGAATAAACAAAGACAAACACCTAAAGGTTAGGGTTCAGCTAGAAATTGCAAAATCTCATGTTTTCTCCACGTGTTCTAAACTAAAAAAATTCAAAACAAAGTTTCTCTCCTGCAGGACCAACTAGAAAATGAGTAACTGGGAGGGAGTAAGTGCTTTTTCTCCGCAACTCTGTTCATTGACTTTGCGTTCCTAAAGATCTGATTTGCTTACATTAATATCTATATAGGAGATAATTGCTTTTTTTATGAATTACTAGGCATTAACAACATTTTCTTTTAGGTACTGACCTGGTTGGAGGAACTATCTGGTATGATCTTGTTTGCTTGTCTTATTACACTGCTTATGGTACCTAATTAAACTGATTTTTATACAAAGTAAATGTTTTCATTTTCACAGTACTATGATCCAAGAATAAAGAGAAAGGTTCACTAGACTCAAACTGAAATGAAAAAGATCTAACCGAGTCAAAGAGCCCTGTGAGACAGAGCCTGATGCTCATGTAGGTCATAGATATTTGACTCGTCAATTGCAAAGTGTGCAGTTGAGATGTGTTATAAGATGCAGCATACATATTCACCTCTCATTTGCTCCTGCTTATTCTGTCGCTAACACCCCCCTCTATACGCTCCGCTAAGTTGCTTCTTATTCTCCTCTGAATTAGTCCAGAAAAGGCAATGGCAGCTCAGGTGTGTGTGGCACTTCCCTTCTAGCAGTCCATCATATGGTTGGACTCCTGAACAGGTAGGATGTATTACACTCTGGGTGTGTCTGGAAGGTAATGGCAGGACAACATGTAGCTCTTTGACTGTAAAGTTGGTATAGAAATAAAATGACCCATTCACCATAAGCAGTTAAGCTATAAATAGCTCATTTTATCTTTGATTAACAATGGAAAGTGTAAATAGTAATTTCTGTTACTTTTTAATTAACAGTGGGTTTACATTATATAATAGAAATATAACTATGTAATCAATGAAACTATCAATGATACTCCTGCTATCATATCTATAATTCTATCAGTAATATTAATTCTTATTGATATAAGATACCTGAGGCTTATAATAAGATCTGACAAACTTTAACAGAAACTATTACTGAAAAAATATAGCGGGCAGATACAGCACATTTCTAATGTGGTATGTTGTAATATATATATATATATTTAATGATTTTGAGAAAATACATCTTATAAGTTATACAAACACTGAAATTCTGTAATTTTTGTGGGGGAATGTTACCAATAAAATCATTTTTTTCTAGTTATTTTGTATTATTAAAGTGGCAAACCAGTATGTTTTAAAAATAAGGCTGATTTCTAAAATGCAAGGTAAATATGTTTTCACCTATAAATTATATATCTTACTACATAATTCATTGTGTATGTTTCTATTATCAGAGGAATGGTAAATTATAGTGCAGCACACATCAGGATTTGCTATTAATAAAAATACATATGAAATGCATTAAGCCACATTTTTGGAAATAAGCCATTGTGTGATTTAGTAGGACAAGTTTTTTTTGTCTTATATATATTCTCATCTGCATGTTTCTAGTCTACGTGGGTAGACCTTGGATTAGGCCAAGCAAGCTGCTCTCTATAAATCTGTATTTGGAACTTTGTTAAGCAAGGAGAAAAAAATTACCCCACTTGAACATTAGTGTATAGTGGTCCTTTCTCAGCTACAAACAACCTAGGGATTTAATGACAGCAGAAGAGTTCATGAGACATTTTGCACTGATAATTCCCAAGAAGCCTGATTCCATCCTACAAATGAAAAAGTCTGATCCATTACAAGATGGACAAGAAACTTTCTGTTCAAATTGGATTTTTCTCAACTCTGCTTATCTAATACACTAAGACCACAGATTATACATTCCAAAGAGAGACAACCATTCCCTTTAAGGATAGGTGTTTAAAAACCTATTAGACAACTACTAAATGCCTTGAGGTATTTCTAGGGTTTTAAGGATTTAGAAGTTGAAGATTAAAAGAGGAACATCAGAAAGAATTTTCAAAGAAAGCTGTTTTCCTGCTGTGATCCTCACCACTGTCCTCTCTTTGTCCCTGAAAGACCAGTATGCATGAAGGTCAGACATGGGGGACTCGGCCCTGTTATCTGCCCAAGACACTGCAGGAGTGAGCAGTAAGCTTTTGCCTGCTCTGGTGTCCCCTGGAGGGTGCATAGAAAGGGTGCTGGCTGCCCTTAAATCCTGGTATAATTCCACTGAAGGGAGGCGAACTGGGAAGAGAGTGCAGAGGTGGGTCTAAACAAATTTCTGGATGAGATTTGTTTGGAGTTATACCAAGAAATAAGGCAAAGAAATGGACCAGTAGGGAATGGATTTTTCTTTTTAAAAAATTTGATCTCATAATATGTTCATATTTTTATGGGAATGATTCAGTTGGAATAAAATAATGATTCAGCCAGGAGAAAGTTTGCGGTTATAGGAGTCAAGTGTTCATATGCAGGGAGACCCAGTGCACAGGCAGAGAGCCTGGCCTTTACTGACCACCAACAGATTCATTCTTGGGAAGAAGACAGGAGGTGGAGATACTTGGATCAAATGATGTCAGTGTTTCTGGCCTGAGGAGTCCGATTGTTTCTTTGTCTCTGTTGCAGCTAAGGTGAGGGTTAGGGTTAGGGTGCAGGTTGCAGTTATCATAGATTTTTGGTTCTGTTTATGGTGCTTTATTCTTCTGTCTTATGAGTTTACACACACACTGTTCTCAATACCCAGACCTCTCTCCTTCCAGATCTACCTCTCCTCTGTGTCCATTGCTCTACTTATGCAGCTAATTCTGGCATGTATCTTGAGACTGGGCTTAAATATCACTTTCTGAGGCACACTTTCTGAAACATAGATTAGGCGATGAGCTCTACCTACAGGAATGCACAACATTTTGCACAATACTGCAATTTTCTCCTGGAGCCCTGTGTATATTTGTTTGCTTTCCCAGCTTCCTTGTGAGCTCATTTGGACAGCAATGAGGTTTTCTTTCTTTATGACACTGCTGCACCCTGCCCTTGTTGCTCTACAAGTGCTTAATGAATTCACAAACTGACTGATTGTATTGCTCACAGAACTGAAATTCTATCCTTAGTTATTTCTTCAGTCAAGTCTTTAAATCCAGCGAGCTTTGTGAAACATGCAATGAATGTAAGGGAGACTATGAGCCTGATGCCCCTTACCACAACATTTCAGGTGACCAAGGAACCATTTAGCAGAGCATGGAGCAAGGCAGGAATCAAACAAGGTATACTAAGCTCAGTGGGGACAGAAGGAATCGTAAAGGTCTGAAGTATTGGCTAAGGATTTGGCACAAAATTGACTTAATAGAAGAAAGAAAGTCCTTCTGTTTTCAGGAGAAAAAATACAAATTTCCCCACACTCTGTTTTCAATTCACTCAAAATAATACTGGTCTTTTCTTTTTTGTTAACCTGATCATGCTTCAGACTTATGCTCAAATTTAGAGAAGTTGATTACTCTTAAATATGGTTTGGCAAAAACATTTTCCAGCTTACTTCCATCAACTGAGTATCTGCTTTATATTATATATTTTTTCCAAATTTGTTTGGAGAAGTTGAATGCCAACTAGTTTTCCAACATATATATTAAGTTTTTGTTTTCCTTCTGTATTTCTACCATTGCTACCTTTTTCAAGCTGTCCTTGAGGAATCATTAAGTGTTCAGTACATATTTTGAGGTTGTGATTAATATTTATTAGGAACTTTTTATATCACAGAAAGTATTCTTAGGGTAGAGGGGTACACTTGGCAAGCCCTCCCTAAACAGTGCCACAAATATGTGCGAAACCAATTTCAAAATATGAAGGGAGGTGACTGGAACTCTTGAGAGGTTGCAAGCGAGCGCCTTTGCAGCCTGTGATGCTTGATGGTGTCAGCTTGAGTAAGAGAAGCTCAGCTATGTTGGCTCAGCAATTCCACACCCTAGGGCTGCTCGCCTGGATGGTGTCAAGGGGAAGTGAAAAGAGACAGATTGGCTTCTGTGTCTTCGGAAGAGCTCCCCTCTTCATCTTCACCTTGGACGTCATCTCCAGTGCTCCCAGCACAGACTCTTCAACTTCCGGCGTAGACTCTTCAACTTCCAGCATAGACTCTTCAGCCTCCATAGCAGACCCATCAGCCTCCTGATACAGACTCACGTGGGGCGGTGTAGTGAGCTCTAGACCTTCGACTGGATCCTTCCATCTCCAATGTTCAGACAGACCCTCTGCACTCTTTCTCATCCGACTCTGTGGGCGGCCACTGTGAGCCAATCTTGTAAATTCTCGTGTATTTGTATATCTTGTGTTATGTCTATCTGTCTAGTAAACACTGACTGATACCCAGCCAGATGAAAGCATGATCAATTGTCATGTGAGAACTGAATAGGCTTGCTAAGAAACTTTCAGTGGAGCCCAGGGTAAGAGTTGTCACTCAGCAGAGCAGCACGAAGGCC